TGCTGGGGGCTGGTCCTCGCGGGGAGGCAGCAGCAGCAGCAGCAGCAGCGGGAGGTGGAGGAGGAAGAGGAGGTGGAGCTGGAGGCCGCTGGGGCAGCGGGCACTGATTGGCGGTAGTGGCTGTGGGCGGGGCGGGCTGCCCGGGGCTGGTCCTCGCAGGCTGCAGGGGGAGGAGGAGGAGGGAGGAGGGAGCGCTGGAGCGCCGGCCGCCGTGGCCGGCTCGGCCTGCCCTTTGTGCCCGCAGCCCGCGCCCCGCGCCGATGGCCGCCGCGCCGGGCTCCCTGGCGGCGCGCACCCGCCCGCGGACCTGACCCCGCGCGCCTGGGATGCGCCGGGAATGCGCGTCCTCCGGGCCTGCGGCTCCTCCCGGCTGGGCGCGGGGCGATGGACCTGAGCATGAAGAAGTTCACCGTGCGACGGTTCTTCTCCGTGTACCTGCGCAAGAAGTCGCGCTCCAAGAGCTCCAGTCTAAGTCGACTCGAGGTAAATGCCGTCGCCTCTGTGCGCGCAGGTACCCGGGTCCCCGCCGCGCCCTGGAGGATGCTGCGGGTCTCAGAACCATTCCGAGCCCTTTCTATTGTCACATGCACGGTACCCACAGTCCCATGTCTGGGAGTTAAAGTTTTTTGAGAGCTGGTCCGGTTTTTCTAAAATCGAACGCTATTGTTGGGACTTAGTAATAACTGGACCGGTCCTCGGGCTCTCATCGGGGACGAAACTCTGCCCCTGTGGAATTTCTAACTCATTTTGTTCCCGGGTCTGCGCAGGATGCGGGTCAGTCACCGTGCCCACATAGGTGCTCCGGGTAAGGGGGGCGTTGGGATCCGTGCGGCTGGGCTGTCGCTCCCCCGAAGTCCAAAGTACAGAACCTCCCCGGCGCTCCCCTCGGCTGTGGGTCGGGGTGGATCGGGTTTATGGTACGGTGGCCCACAGCCACACAAGTGCTCCCGTAGCGGGCAGATGTTCTGTACTCGAAATCCGTGTAGCGTTGACCATATGTATATGTATACATATATAAAGGTAGCAGTAGTATCCCCTCCTGCCAGTCTGAAACGATGCTCAGTAGTGAAGTGCCTGATGCAATATCCCTGCAGCTCCGGGTTTGATATAGATTCGACCTGAAACCCAGAGGACCCTGAAAATTAATGTCCTTTTCTCCTGTCCCTCATCTGGTCATCTTTGGGTTTCCAAAGTCATCTGTGGACAGTTCTCTGATGTGGTTTTTATTTCAGCAATCAGACCTTCTTCTCCTTATCCCAGTGTTCCAATTACATCGTTGAATCTATAGATGACCAAATGGTGGAACCCTGTTTAAGTAAAACAGAGACATTGTGATGTTGGGGGGAGGGGCTGGCGACACAAGCTAGCGTTTCCCTTCGACATTGCCCTGGCCTTTGCCACAGGGCTGGCGCCCATCTCCGTTTTTGTTTGTTTCTAATGAAGTCGAATCAGTTGGAACAATGTCACATTTTTCATGTTGGCCTTCTTTGTCCAGCTGCCATGATACGGATCCGGGCGTGGGTTGTTACAATTAAGAGATCTTTAAGCAAAGCTCAGGGGTAGGCATGAATGCAACAGGGAATTACTTGTATAAAAAGTTTCCTTTGCGGTATCACCGAGTCAGAATTGGACTAGATGGGAATCTTTGTGGCTGGGCTCTGAGGGTAAAACAGATTTTTCAAACAAGTACAACTGTTAATCAAATAATGGAGGAGGGCTTGCCTTAAACCTCACATTGACAGAAATTAAACATATGTTCATTGAGATAAATCACTTTGCTGGATCTCAGACACTTTAAAAAGCTAAAGCTGATAAGAATAGAAACTCAGAACAGTATTTACCTTTATGCCTGATAAGTTTTTATTCATCAAATGCCAAGTTCATTATACAGCTCCTTGTCTCCTTCCGTTTCTTGTCCTTGCCTCAGGGAGGCACACGGGTGAGCCAACTCCCGGGGCTGTTCGGGAAGAAAGGCAACAGATACCAGGCTGAACTAGCGGAGGGTCAGCGATCCTATACAGCATGATATACACAACCTCCCATGTCATGGCTCAGCAAAGAGAACCAGGTTTTGAAAGTACCTCAAAAAAAGAATATAATGGGCGCCTGGGATGGCTCAGTGGTTGAGCGTCCGACTTTGGCTCAGGTCATGATCTCACGGTTCATGGGTTCAAGCCCCGAATCAGGCTCTGCTGACAGCTCAGAGCCTGGAGCCTGCTTCGGATTCTATGCCTCCCTCTCTCTCTGCCCCTTCCCCGCTTGTGCGCGCGCGCGCTCTCTCTCTCTCTCTCAAAAATGAATAAACATTAAAAAAATTTAAAAAGACATGGTGAGAAACCAAGAGGGGAATATAAAGGAGGTTTCTTCAATGTGAAAATAAAATTTCTAAAAACAATAAATACACCGTCGGCTACGTATGTCCACTGACTAGAAAGGGATGTGATTGATCTATCAGCACGTAATCAATGAGCACTTCATACAGTCTGGATGCTGGATGCTGGACAGAAGCATTAATAGTGAATGGGCAGCCCAGATAAAGTGCTCTGTTCTCTACAAATGCCTTCACCTGTGTCTTAGGAAAAATCGTGTAGACGTGTGTTACTATCCTCCGTCTATTGCTAGGAGGATCTCCCCCCAGAACTGAGGATCTTGATGAAAGCTTAACAGCCGATTGATTCTGCAATTGCTTTGTAAAGACCTAGTATTTGATCAGCCCTTTTCTCAGCATTGTAGATCCAGAAACCCTAAGTCCTGGAAGTCCTGGCCTCACGGTGCCTCCACCTAGTGGGGGTTCTAATAAGTCGCTGACCCTGTGCTTTAGTCCAGTAACTTCCAGATTCCGATCCAGCTGCCTTTCTTTTTCCAGAGAAGGCTGTTAATTTGTTTGCGTATCCACAGCAGATTATAGGCCAAGAAACGCTCATCCAAAAAAAAAAAAAAAAAAAAAAAAAAAAAAAAAAAAAAAAAAAAAGTTAAATTTCAGAGGGGAGGTCTGTCCATAGTTTGAGGTTGTGTGATAGGACATATAAAGCCTTAGCATGGATGTATATTTCCTGTTTGGACTAAAGAAAAAGACAACTCATTTTGTAAACATGAACATGTTGTTTTAATTGTTTCTGTGAAATTTATTTTGTAAAATATACACAGAGACTGAACAATTTGGTTTTTGAATTCAAAATCTGGTGACATAAACAGGAAAGTGACTGTAGCTACTTTAAGGGTAAAAACACTGTTATTTTTATTAAAACAGCCATCAGAGAGAGACGTGGTCTTAATGTTTTCGTACTTGGTTTTAAATTTAACCTCACTTTCATCTAGAATCCAACATTTGGTAAGCTCTAACCAACAGAGAAGCCAGATTGCTTAATCAGACTTGGAAACAGTTTATGAATTACAGCTTAAATATTTTTGTAGTGTCTCAGCATTGCACCAACTAAGATGACCAGGATAGTTGACTCTGGCTGGAATGATTTTGGGAGTTTCTAAATGGAAAGTGGATATCTTTCCTAGACTTCTTTGAGCATGCCAGAGAAAGGCATCAAGTCTCGGTGTCTGCCCTTCACCCTGATCTCAGGGCATTGACAACACTGCCCGAGGATCTCAGCACCTTTCCAGAAGGTGCAACCGTCTCCTGATTCAGCAGCCCATTTTACAGAGGAGGAAACGGAGCCCGGGGAAATCCAAAGGGCTTGCTTTATGGTCCTGGCCCCTAGAATGTTGTAAAGGACGCTCTTGCTATAAGGACGTGTGCTATCATTCTGGGTTGTATGGTTACTGGAGTTTACCAGGTGTTAGACGGGACTTGAAGGAAGGCTGTTGTAATCGTTGCAAGGAAATTACCCTGAGGGAAATTGGGATGTTTTGGAATGTTCCCCAAACCTAAGATTCTTCTAGAGAACCTTTTTTGGAAGTTAGAAAGTTCCAGGTGAACCTGGGCTTTGTGTCGCAGTCACCTGAATTGGATTCTCAAGTCCACCTTTCACAGCAGCTGGCTCCTTAAACTCTGTGAGCCTCCTTTCCCTGCACGGTGAGACGGGAGAGTAGTTCCTGCCTCAGGGAGTTAAAGTGGCCAGCGTGAGCTGTCGTGAAGACTTAACGCTGCTCTGGATGGTAACTCTGCAAGTCAAGAGTTGTCAGCTATGGATACTGATCAATAGTTTCTGGGTTTATCGACATTTTTCCTATTGCCCAGTGTCTCCTGCCTCTGTGTGCACCTGAGATTGCCCCTACCGCCTGCAGAACCCACGGCGTGTGCTATCTCAGTACACTCTCAGCCTGGTAATTAAGAGTTCAGATGACCTTCCTGTGTGACTAGGGGAAGAAAAGGCCAGAGATCGGCCCCATTCGCTAAGATGAAGTTCCTGTCCCCTGGCTGGGATGGCGATGTCCCTCTATCCTTAACTTACGTACCGCGCTATGAGTCAGCTGTACCGATCCGTGAACCCGTTACCAGTTCGGGTCCCAAAGCCATGGCATCAGGAGTTGAGGTGGCTTCTAGAGTCAGGAAATGCCCCAGCATCAGTGGCCCGACTGATGGAGCTTTGGGAAGGAGTCCTCCTTGGCTGGGCCTTCAGTTCCCCAGGAGAGACCCCAAAGCTCCAGTGCCTGGCTTGGGGCCTGGGGCAGGTTGAGAGGGGTTGGCTAGGAAGGGCGTTGAGTGCCTATTTTTTTAAAATTAATAACAAGTGATATTATGCACTGAGTAAGCTTTATCTACCAATTCGCCAAAGGTATCAATACTCAAAGTCAGTCACTTAAGGAACAGTCATTTTGTTTGGAGTCATCAAAGCCAGGGAGTCGGTTCTCTTTGACTACCTGTCATTTCATCTGTCTTTGACATTTTTGCTGAAAGACGATTGAGGGTGAGTGACAAGGACACAATGTCCTTTAGCTGGGAGACGGATGATGGTGAGCGGTTAAGCGGAAGGAGAATTTCATTTACTTATGTATTCACTCAATTGTTCACACAACTCCAAGAATTTTGAGCATCTACCATGTACATGGTGCTAAGCAGTTGGTATATGGGATGTGATCTTTATATGATCTCTGCCCTCCATGCACTTAACATCTAGTGGGAGAGGCATTCTTGTGAACGGAAGCCCTACAGCGTGGAAGTTCTGTGAAATGACCAGCATCACTGGACTTAAATGGTCTTACTATACCGATTGTCAATTCATTTCCATTTCCCACGGTCGAAGGTAACTGAGCGCTATCTGTGAGTATTTTTTAATTGCTTACCCCCTTTTAAAGGGAAGCATGATGTGCCGATAAAGTAACTGCTGAGGGACTCTCACCAAATACTGTGAGTGTTGTTGGCTCTAGTCATGGAGAAAAAGAAAGCTTCCTGGAAAGTCAGACTTAAGGCTTCTTCTTGGTGCTTGATAGGTAAGCTCTTCTTCTAGATCTTGGGTGGTTTCCCGGAAAACCATTTCTAATTAAAATAATTTTCAGGTGCCTTCAGTAAAGGCACCCAAAAGTTCTAT